CAGCTTTCCGTGGGTCGGTACCACCGGTCTATTTTTGCTGCCCCGCCTCGCATCCAACCTGGTGCCGCACATGCCTGCGATTGCTCTGGCCTTCGGATGCAACCATCTGATGTCCCTGGCCTGCGAAGTCGACCGGGATTACACGGCTGACATCGCCGCCCAACTAGCGCGTCCCATCAACGAACGCGGCGACTGCCCCCTCCTACAACCCGCCATTGATCGCGCCCGTGACGCTGCGTACTACAGCTCCAAGTACACTGCGAAGACAATCGAACGCAGCCAGGCGCACCTCACATGTACCGCCGTAGGGCGTGTACAGGACTTCATGATGGCAGGTCACCAACCCAGTGCCACTGGTCATGAACCCAGCGTGTTCGGCAACCTGTGTACCGCGGTGCATCGCATGACGGCTACCATCACGGCCGGCATGGCACTGGTTGCTTTCAAACTATCGGGCCACGACACGTTCCAAGCAACCTACAAACGCAACTACCTGGCGACAGGCGCCTTCACTGCACTGGCATCCGATTCCGCTGTGGAACCAGAAGACGCGGAAACCGGCGTGGAGCTTGTAGAGGCGGACGAACATGGCGACTACACCCTCGCCAACGTTGTGCAAAACTACACGCAACGTGGTGTGGAGCTGAGCGGCTTGGACTGCAGCACTTACACCATCGCATCCAACTTCGAGGTGAAACGTGTAACACCCGCGCAACACCCTCATGCTGCCGTCCTTGGCGCTCAAACCCACGCCGTACCTGGCCGCCGCAAACGCAAGGTCCCTGGCGCCGCCATTACCCCTACGACTGACGCACCTCGCGCTCCATCTGGCAACCAGCCCGACACTCCATTGACGTCCCCTGCACCAGCCGGCCCATCCGTGGAACAGCTGCCCACTAACCCAACGTCAACCATATCTCCCAAGAATGTGGCCTTCCAACCAACGCACCCCCTATATCTGACGCACGTACTTCATCGCCTAGCGCAACCAAGGTACGTTGTGTTGGGTGGCAAACTGCCCCGTCGCCCGCAAGCAGAAAGCACCACCGCAGCCGCCACCGCCTACTATGCGTTCGTTTTAGGAGTCTTTAAGGCCCACCGTGGCCAACCAGTGGCTGCCGATCAGACAGTGAAAGAGGCGTACGACGCATGGTGGATGGACCTGGGAACCACTGAGACTGGCCGATCATACAGAGCCTGTATCAGCGTCCTACTAGACAACATCGAAGCAGAACACATCGCCGGCGCCCGACGTCAAGCCGATTACAACTTGCGACGTCGCCTACGCCGTACTGCCGCTGCAAACGCCGGTCTGGCTCCCGAAAACAGTTCCAGCGACCCAGACGATGAAGACCCAGAAGCTGCACGACGCCATCTCGAACCCGATCCTACCACACAGCCGCCGCAAGATGCCCAGGTCGAACGGTATGACTTTGTGCCAGGCCAAGGCGACCCGACGATGGGGATCAACCTACCCGACATCGCCCTAACGGACCTATACGACCGCACCACGGTGGAAGGCCTCTACGCCTACGGTGCAGCTCGCCGTTGCCGTGTACTTCCTCTCCCTGATGCACTCGGCGCGAACACCAACCCCTTCATTCGCCGTGTACGGGCCACTGACGTCGCGCTGCTAAGTGAAGCTTCTAAGCGCCTGAAGCGCTATCTAGTCGTCTCTGAAGGCACCACAACCACGCCGACCACCACTGAACGGACACCCCGTCTGCAATTGGATCGCCGCCCCGGCTACCCACTCGTAGCGGTACTCGTAAACGGCACCCAACAATCTGACCGTATCACAGCGGGAATGCCAACCTACTTGCGTTTAGCACGGCCGCCGACCATCGATGAAACCATCGAGCTGTTTACCCTGGCGCCGGATCAGGCCGTGCCATTCATGCTCATGGCACGCTACTTCGACCGCCGCAACCAACCCGATCCAGGTGTCCCACCGCAAATGCTCGTCATGGGTCCTCCGGGCACAGGCAAGACTCAGTTCGTACACGCACTGCTGTGGTACACGTACCAACATGACAGTCCTGACTGGGCCGCCACGTGCGCATACTCTTGGGCCGCCGCGATCGCGTTCAACACCCCAGTCCATCGCAGCCTATCTACCCACTCCATGTTCGGCATCTCAGCCAGCCAAAGCGGCTCCCGTGGCACCAACTTTCCTAAGCGCGGCGCACATGCTGGCCTTCAAGTAAAACGCAACGTCGGCGATGGCGCTGTGCTCATCGACGAAATTGGCATGCAAAGCCACGAGCACCTCGGCGCCATCAGCCACTCCTGCACAGCCAGTCTGCCGCCTCCGCCACACCTTGGGCCCGCCCATGACAGCAGCCGCGTCTTATCCGGCCGTGCCGCGGGCGGAATCGGCGACCTGCTACAGCACCCTCAGCCAGGCGGTTCACCACCGTACCGCTACGCCGCCGACGTTGAGCGAAACCCCCAGTTCACTCCCTCGGCACCGACAGCACAACGCACACCAGCTTCGCTTGACGAAGGTCGAGGTCACGCATGATGACAGCAACAATGACAACACTGACGCAGACGACGACACCGGCAACCGTCGCGCCACCACCTCCACACATCGCACTCGTCGCCCTGTGCCACAGACGCACACCCGCCTACACGACGGCTTCAACCTGTACCGTCAGCTCGGCGGCACCGTATTCATGCTGCAGAAACAGCAGCGGCAAGACAACAGCCCATCTGGCCAGCAGCTTACCCGCTTCGCAACCATGTTCGGCGGCATTCCAACCACTGAAGCACGTGTCGCAGATCTAGTAGACGCACTCAACCAACGCGTCATCACAGATTTGTCCGATCTCACAGACCTCGAACCCCGCGTCGTGCTGCAACGGAACGAACCCAGGCACGCGCTCAACACACGCCTCCTGATGCTCCAGGCGCGCCGCAAAGGAGCGCGTTTGGTCAGCTGGAATGCGGACCACGTCCCGGTTAGGCAACATGGCGCAACCCAACAACAGGCGCTCTCACACGTCGAAAAGGCTGTCGCAATGCGAGTAAAAGACGCCACCTTCGACCACACCACCGCCGACACTTGGTACTACGAGGGTGCACGCTACACCCTACTCGACACCACAGCTGCCGACGCCGGCGCGTGCCACAACAATGAAGTCGAGGCGTGTGGCCTGCTTACCGACAGCCGTGAACCGCCCGACGACGGCCGCGGCCCGTACTGGCGCCTCCACTACCTACCCGCAGCCGTCTTGGTCCGTCCCATTAAAGGGCACGCGCCCAAAGCGGTGCTAGCAGACTTATCGGACTTCGCAGCCAAAGGTGCTGCCTTCGCCATCGTACCACGGCCCTCGCCGGCAGCAAACATCACCGTGCCAGCCGCCAACACCGGCACCACCACCAAAAATGTACGTCGAGTCAATGTACCGCTTGGTGACTACTACGCCGTCACCGACTACTTCGTACAGGGCCGTAGCTTCAAGGAAGAATGCTGGGTCGCAGACCTTTCCGTCCCGCCCGGTGGCCTCAAGCGTGCAACCATGTACGTGTTGCTCACCCGCTACAAGACACTCGACCACATCCGCCTCCTGCGCCCGCTCTCTACCACACCCGATGAACGAACACGAGTCGTCAAACAGTTCATGGCAGCAACCAAGCTGGACCCCGACCTGGCGGCCGAACTCCGCCTCCTGGATCGCCGTGCAACCGAAACACGTGAACGCTATACGACCGAGTACAAACACGCCAGAAACCTAGAGGAGCGTTGGACCTCCGCAGCCAACACCACCTGACACGTAAAACAGTTCGTCTGCCTCGCCACTGGATGGCGTTAAATGCCAGCGTTGCACGGCTCTCTAGCCGTCCGACGACACGCCCGCACGGCTGGGTGCATCCCCTGCACTTGTGGGTTCGACTCCCACACGGGTGTACTACAAGTATACGCACGCTCCGTCATACTCCTGCCGCCCAGCCGGGGGACTACGGCCCCCTCGCGGGCGACGCAGCCCGCGTCTAGTCCGTCCGTCTGCTGTCCGGCTGTCTGTCCGGAGCGTTTTGGAAATTCCGGGTCGGGAGCGTGCCGTACGCGCTTAAGACCGCGCCGACAAGAACGGAAGGTCGCCGGTTCGATCCCGAGCGTAATTATGTTTTATGTTTCATATTTCATATATATGCATATGTGCAGCGATATGCGATATGCAGCGATATGCGATATGCAGCAATATGCGATATGCAGCAATATGCGATTTGCGATTTGCGATTTGTGCGATATGCGGTATGCGATATGCGATATATGCCATATGCAGCGATATGCGATATGCAATATGCCATATGCAATATGCGATATGCGATATGCGATATGCGATATGCGATATGCGATATGCGATATGCGATATGCGATATGCAATATGCGATATGCAGCAATATGCGATTTGCGATTTGCGATATGCGATATGCGATATATGCCATATGCAGCGATATGCGATATGCAATATGCGATATGCGATATGCGATATGCGATATGCGATATACGATATGCAATATGTTATGTATATGCGCATGCATCTGCATTATGCAAGCATACGCGATCTGCAAGCATATGCAACCTGCAAGCATATGCCATATGCGATCTGCAAGCATATGCAACCTGCAAGCATATGCCATATGCGATCTGCAAGCATATGCCATATGCGAACTGCAAGCATATGCCATATGCGATCTGCAAGCATATGCCATATGCGATCTGCAAGCATATGCCATATGCGATCTGCAAGCATATGCGATCTGCAAGCATATGCTATGCTATGCTATGCTATGCTATGCTATGCTATGCTATGCTATGCTATGCTATGCTATGCTATGCTATGCTATGCTATGCTATGCTATGCTATGCTATGCTATGCTATGCTATGCTATGCTATGCTATGCTATGCTATGCTATGCTATGCTGCGCTATGCTATGCTGCGCTACGCTACGCTACGCTACGCTATGCTATGCTATGCTCCGCAAGCATATGCGATCTGCAAGCATATGCGATGTGCAAGCATGTGCGCTCAGTAACAAAAACAAGAAAGCATGAAAACATGGAAACGTGAAAACCATCGCAGGACTCGAACCTGCTGTCCAGCAAGTGCTGTGCTATGCTATGCTATGCTATGCTATGTTGCGCTACACTACGCTATGCTATGCTATGCTATGCTATGCTCCGCAAGCATATGCGATCTGCAAGCATATGCAATGTGCAAGCATATGCGCTCTGCAAGCGTATGCGATGTGCAAGCATATGCGATGTGCAAGCATATGCGCTCTGCAAGCATATGGGATGTGCAAGCGTATTCGATCTGCAAGCATATGTGATCTGCAAGCATATGCGATCTGCAAGCATATGCGATGTGCAAGCATATACGCTCTGCAAGCATATGTGATCTGCAAGCATATGCGATGTGCAAGCATATGCAATCTGCAAGCATATGCGCTCTGCAAGCATATGGGATGTGCAAGCGTATGCGATCTGCAAGCATATGCGATGTGCAAGCATATGCGATGTGCAAGCATATGCGCTCTGCAAACATATGCGATCTGCAAGCATATGCGATGTGCAAGCATATCTGCTCTGCAAGCATATGTGATCCACAAGCATATGCGATCTGCAAGCATATGCGGTATGCAAGCAATGCAGTATGCAAACATATGCGATCTGCAAGCAAATGTGATCTGCAAGCATATGCGATCTGCAAGCTTTTGGGATGTGCAAGCATCTGCGATGTGCAAGCATATGCGATCTGCAAGCATATGCGATCTGCAAGTGTATGCGCTCTGCAAGCATATGGGATGTGCAAGCAGTGATTTTTTTTTCATTTAGGGGGGGTCTCAATTTATTCCAACCTAAGTAACAAAGTTGCTAGCGTCGCCGTTATGTATTCCTTAAGAGTGGGCG